ATAAAAGGTTAATTTGACATTTAGAGGATTAAAAAAAAGAGAGAACATGGAGGTTCTTGATGCCAATTATACCCTTCAGGTGTAGAGATTCAAAACAACTTTCTTTCCTTAGGACACACAGAGTTGGACTATAATGCCATTTTGCTGAATGTTATAAATAAACACATCAAAAAAACACCTTTGCATTTTGCTGTTTGTATGGAGCCAGACCACTTTCCTGCCCATGTATCTATAAGCTGGAATCATCTGAACTTGTCAATGAGAAGGTAACTAAACTGTCACTGGCAGTCACGTGGGTTTGCTAAGGGTCTAGTCTAACACTATTAAATCTCATCTCATGGGCATTCTGGAAAATTGAACTTTAAGGTATTGAAATGTATTTTATAGAAAGGTGAATTTTGCAGACTCTACCAGGATACATTTCCCTATAAAATGAATCTCTCTGAAACTTCCTTTGTACTGTTTAGACAGTTAATCTGACAGCTTGAATTGAGACTTAAAAATAGCCATATTTTGTACCTATAATACTCCTTATGAAAATCTATCCTAAGGAAATAACCTTAGGATAGATTTTAAAAGATTAACAAGTAAGATGTTCATTACAAAATAATTATACAGGGAAAAAAAAGAAAATAATCCAAATGTCTAATATTAGATAAGTGGTTAAATATATAACGTTCATGTATTGTAAGCCTATGCTGTCATTAAAAATCATGTGCATTTTTAAAAGTATATATAATTCCAAGGAAAGTTCTATACAAAATTACTTTAACTAAGTTATCCAAACTTTTAAAAATGCACATATACAAATAGAAAATAAAAGACTGGTACATGATGACCACCGTTAATATTTTGATATGCTTCTCCTTGATGGAATTCTGGTTTTTTTTTCTATTTTAAAGAAATTTCCCCAATTTTCCTGATGACCTAGAGAATGATTGATTTAATTTTAAAAAGTCATTTGCCAGTTTTCTTGCTCACCCACCTTTCCTTTATGCCAGTACCTAACTTAAGAGCCATCTAAAAAAAGAAGTTGCAAAGATGATGAGGAATTAAAGGGAAGGCTAGCCTCTATTCACTCTGCAGCACATATTATTTTGATTTTTGCAGATACAATATCTTGACCCAAGGCAATCAAAAGCAAACAAATAAAAAAAGCAAACAAAATCAGTATTTCTAGGAGCATGATGACTTGCTGCATTTAAACTGTGGTTGGAGAACGGTTTCACATTTCAGGAATCATGGAAGCTTCAAACGAATGTCATTATCAGTGATGGCCTTTTAAAACTGATGGGAAGAAAATAGTCCATTTAAAGTATGGAAGCAGCTTTGCAATGGCCCTACTGTGCCATCACAGGGGAAGGCACGAGCCTTGCGAGATATTTACACATTGTTGGAACCTGAGGTATTCAAACCTGCCGTCACGAAGCCACTGTCATTCATTGTAGCATCCTCGTTCCGGTATTCTGCCAAGCAGAAAGGAGCATTACAAGAAAACAAGGGGAAGGGGGATTTGAAAGACTCAAATTAAAATCCGAGTTTAGAAAAGACTTCATTAACAAAATAGAAAAATTTAAGGTACTATGAGAGATTCCTGTGTCACTGGAATTCAGCTAGCTCAGACATCCTTAGTGGATTTCTAGCTAAATCCCCATAGCTCTAAGGACTTAGTTAGAAATCCACTTTCTACCTGCCAGTAACTTCAAGTAGTGTTTGCTTTGTGAGCTGGGCAAGTAACTTAACCTTTCTGAGTCTCAGTTTGTTATCTCTAAAACGGACATGATAATAGCACCTAAACTCGTGGGTGGCTAAGAGCAGGTGAATAATTTATCACAATATGTGCAATGTTTAAAAAATAAAATAAGTATCAGTTCTCCTAATAGTCACTATTTTTAGAGTATTCATGCACATTTGATCTCTCAAAAATATAAATGCTTGAAAATTAAGAGTAGTACATCTCTCCTTAATTGTAGCTGTACTTGAAGGAAAAACAGCTACCTTTACAGGCTGTTCAAGCTTTAAGATCTTATAAAACGATCTAATATCTATTTATTTAATTATGACTGACAAGCTGCTACTAGATGCAGGAGGTTACATTGCACAAACGTTCCACTCTACGTGATGATGAATAGTAACCCCAGAGTCAAAGCTATTAGCTGAAGTTTTTCACCCAATCTCAGCACAATTTTAACCACATGTGTTTGGTGTGTGTGTGTGTGTGTGTGTGTGTGTGTGTGTGCATGTGTGTGTAAGGCATGCATGAGTGTGTATATTTAACTTTCCTATCTTTACTAGCTTCTGTGGAGAGACTACACTGAAATAATAATGCTAATGACACAGTGATTTTTCTGAGGTTGGGTATTTCTCCAATGCTCACGTATCTTCTGTTTCTTTCCTTCCCCTAAGGACAGGACATAGGTGGGTCTTAGCTTGCCAGAGATAATATGGAGAATGTCTGTTTTCTGGATTTTTACATACTGTTGCATTGGTAGCAACTTAGTATTGGGAGCAACTTTGAATTTCTTCTCCTAACCCATCTGTCACTCAATCCTGAGGCAAGCCACCCACGCCTGACTTTTTTTTTGTCCTCCCAGGCAGATGAAATACTTCCATATCAGTGAATAGGTAGAAAGAGTTTTCTGATCCATTCTGGTTGCCACTATCAAACGCCAGCTCAAATCACATAAGATATTAACCAGAGTGAGTCAAGGGGCCTTCAAGAAAGTCAGGATGAGGGGCTTCCCGGCTTCCCTGGTGGCGCAGTGGTTCAGAGTCCGCCTGTCGATGCAGGGGACACGGGTTCGTGCCCCGGTCCGCGAAGATCCCACATGCCGCGGAGCGGCTGGGCCCGTGAGCCACGGCCGCTGAGCCTGCGCGTGTCCGGAACCTGTGCTCCGCAACGGGAGAGACCGCAGCAGTGAGAGGCCCGCGTACCGCAAAAAAATAAATAAATAAAGTCAGGATGAGAATTTGTCTCCTACTGACTGCTACTTAGACATTCCTAAGCCACAGCGGCCCCAGGAAAGCTTCTCAGTTTGACTATAGAGGTGGCATGGGAAAAAAGTATTTTGATAAAAATCACCTGTTTGGATATAGAAGGTTGGATAACCCTCTACTCACACAGTGGCACAAAAGCTTCGAATTTGTAGGAAGATGGTATAAATGAAAGTAGGACAAAACAAGGTGCGTATGTGTGTGTGTGTGTGTGTGTGTGTGTGTGTGTGTGTATGAATATATATATATATATGTGTATATATATACTCATTCATTCATTATTTGTGTAGGTATGTATTGCTCACCAGAACATTGCTTGCCCTACTCTCATTTATGGTATCTTCATACAAAGCAGAAAGCATTAGGTCACTATATTGCAGGGGACATGGGTGAAAGTGAACCCCGGGGGGCAGCCTCACTGCTACCACCACCACTACCGCATGGTTCTCTGACTCCGTATTTCAGCCTCTCCCATCTTCTCACAAAACGTTGCCTTTTTTCTCTCTCCTTAATATGTTGTGATATGAGCATTTTCATTGCTGTGCATAAGAAAATGAGATTCAAAGTGGGGAACCTAAGTGGTAAAAATATGCATTTTTTAATATTGGACTCAGTAAAGGTATCATTTTACAAGAGAGAAACGTATGGCTCTAAACCTGTTCCGTATGTGCATTGCCTCTTATTGAAGACATGGGTGATTGACACGGAGCTGGAGAGCCCTCAGCATCTTTTCTTCTTTGATATGGAATGCTTCTGAGAGGCTGGCCCAAGAACCAGAAGTTAAGAATTTCTCTTTTTTTCTATGCTTCCAGAACTGATAACAATCTAATAAATACAATTAGGAAGGTGAACCCCCTAAATCAGGATTTTGAAAACCAGAATGGCAGAAAGGACATCAATGATTACAAGAGAAAATTTCATAGCAGAAACATATGGCTAAATGAGAAAAGTAAAGAATACTTATCAACTCCAAGGAGAAGGAAATTGTGAGCAAAGTTTTTGAAAGCAATTTTTTGAAAGAATTTTATTGTTTAAAGAAGCAAATCTTGATAAGTAGAATTACATTAGTTATGTGGGACAGCCAAAAGATGTGACTGGTTTAATAAAAAGAAGGGTTTCTTTACAGTGTATCTGCTTAGCCGGTGAATCCCCCCGTTTTTTACTCATTTGTTTATATTTGAAATTTCATAGCCAATCAGTGTGAACTTTGCTATTCTAATAGGGCTTTTTTTTTTCCAGAGTCATTAAGATCTCTATACAATTACTCTCCCTCTTTGATCCTAAACCCCATAGCCAGGAAAGCTTGTTTGTATTCTATTTAGAAAGTGGGCATTTAATTAGTGCCACTTCTGTAAACACACCATGTTTAAACTGATTACGCTTGTTACACCTCACCTCCAACTACACCTGTAGCAACTAAATCACTCTTCCTCATCAGCTATCATTTATATCTTATTAGCATCAAGAGGAAGTGAAAACGGCTTCCCTGGTGGGGCAGTGGTTGGGAGTCCGCCTGCAGAGGCAGGGGACACGGGTTCGTGCCCTGATCCGGGAGGATCCCACTTGCCGCGGAGCGGCTGGGCCCGTGAGCCATGGCCGCTGAGCCTGCGCGTCCGGAGCCTGTGCTCCACAACGGGAGAGGCCACAACAGTGAGAGGCCCGCGTACCGCAAAAAAAAAAAAAAAAAAAAAAGAAGAAGAAATGAAAAGAAGTCACACCCATTTAATTTCATTTCAGGACTCAGGACTTTTGAGTTTAGTTCCTGTAATGATGGTGCTTATTTGTAAAACAGGACATTATAAAAAGATGAGTGATTAAGTAATGTTATATAAGGTGATCAGAGCACATTGTTACAGTTTTCTATGTCATAAGCATATTTCAAGCATAATCCCTGGAAGAACTGCATTCAAACTCGGCATAACATCATGTTGTGTTATTGTATCGTTTCTTGGAGGAGATTACTAAGATTTTCCCCCTCTTTTTTCTTTTCTAAATATTCCTGGCAGGTACTAAGCACAAAACGATGCTAGAAGCTCGGAACGGAAGTGGGACTATCAAAGCCTTCCCTAGGGTAGGTGTGAAAGGCAAAGGACCAGTGAATAAGGGGAATACAGGCCTGCAGAACAAAACGTTTCACTGTGAAATCTGTGATGTGCACGTCAACTCAGAAACACAACTTAAACAGGTAGGCGGTACCCATTCTAGAAGTGAAAACAGATGGGGGTCACGCACGAGCAGATTGTGTGCTTCCTCTGTTCCCTTTCTTTTCCGTTTTTCTCTCCCATCCAACCATCCATCCATCCATCCATCCATCCGTCCATCCTTCCATCCACTTAGCTTCTTATTCACTCTCCTTATTTATTTATGCATATTTTGGTTGCTTAAAGGAATACTAAAATGTAATGGCTTCTAAGATCTTTCCGAAATTGCCTGAAGTGAGTCTGTGCTATTTTTATATATGAAGAGTGGGAGGAAAGGGGGTAGTAGATCTTTTCTTTACCAGGTTTCCCACTCAAAAGTGTTGATTTTCTTTAAAGGTCAAATTTCAATGTTCCGTTTTTACTTGTTTAGATATTTACATGCTACCACTAATTTTATGCTGTGCTCTTCTTTCATTTTATGTACTTTATTACATGGTGGTGTACTGTATTTCTAAATCCTGCAGCCACCTGCTAACAAGATGACTAATCCTGTTGCATTCACTTTTACTCTGACTAGCCTTCCAAAGAGATCAGTTCTACGTTTCTAGTTGAAGTCCCAGCCCTCATATAGTGTTGTGTTTTATATGCATACGTACATTCTTGCACTGATTTTTACACACCTTAGTTATTTATCTTTAGAATTTAAGGGTTGACATTTGGCTGTACAAATGTGAGGATAAATATTAGTACGGATATAAATTCATGCCCGCCTGGCCATCTTTGTTTATTTGCACATAAAATTCCTTCAGAGATTTATTTCCTTTGTAAATGTCCGTAAAACGAGATCTGTGCAGTAATAAGGAAAAATGCTGGGGAAAAGAAGACCCTGCTATTTGTTTAAAATGGACTAAAATGGCTAGCACAAAGGTATCTCTCCTCAAAGCATCAGCGTCCGAGGACAAAAGTGCACGCTCTTTTATTTTTGTCTTTCTTCGACTTGCATGAAATAATTAATATCCTGCCCCAGGTTAAAACAATATTTATGAAGTGTTTGGGGGATAATTTTTTAAAGCTGTCATTTTTAATTGCTTTTAATAGCATATTAGCAGTAGAAGGCACAAAGACAGAGCTGCTGGGAAGCCCCCGAAACCTAAATACAGTCCTTACAACAAACTGCAGAAGGCAGCACATCCGCTGGGGGTGAGTGTCCTTTTTGCTTCCCAATAGAGAGTAGCCTTTCTTTCTTTTTTTTTTATTTAATAAATTTATTTATTTGTTTATGTTTTAATTTTGGCTGCATTGGGTCTTCGTTGCTGCACATGGGCTTTCTCTAGTTGTGGTGAGCGGGGGCTACTCTTGGTTGCGGAGCGTGGGCTTCTCACTGCGGTGGCCTCTCTTGTTGTGGAGCATGGGCTCTAGGTGCCCGGGCTTCAGTAGTTGTGGCACGCAGGCTCAGGAGTTGTGGCGCACGGGCTTCGTTGCTCCGTGGCATGTGGGATCTTCCCGGACCAAGGCTCGAAACCGTGTCCCCTGCATTGGCAGGAGGATCCTTAGCCACTGTACCACTAAGGAAGCCTGAGAATAGCCTTTCATGTCCTGCAGTCTACTCACTGAACTTGGATTTTTTTTTTTGTCAGTTACTAAATGAAATGAATGGAAGATACCTAAGTAAAGACAAACAATTGATTTGAAAGTCCAACTCCTACTCCACCAACAGAATCATTGGTTTCTTGAGTTGTTTGAGTGTTTTGTCACCATTAGCCAAAGTCCGGTGTCTTATCTTTTTAGTTGGGCACAGGTTTACAGCAGAGCATGGGGATGGGAGCAAAACCAAACTCTTTTGTGTCAGGTAGGTAATCACATGAAATCTGGACTTGAGGTTAATGGATACTATTAGGAAAAGGTCGGTGAAAACAAATTCTTGCAACTCCTTTTTAAGGTCTTCAGGAGACAAAGCACCAGTATTGTTGATTCCCTCAACAATTTTGTCTTTTGAATAACACACTCTCAAAGACATGGCTCCTTTTAAAAATTATTCACCTAAGGGCACTATCTAAGGCCTGGGAAATATTTCCTGAGACATACCCTCTTGTTTTAGATTAGTAAACATATTAGTACTGATGTCCTGACCTAGAATTTTTGTAGGATTTTAGGGGAAGTGTGTAAACCTCCTGACATCTTAAGCTAATATTTATAAGCATATGCTTTTGTTCTGGTTGAAATGACGATAGCTTACATCTAAGAGACCCAGGGTTCTGCATTGTTTAGCTGTAATAAACCATAACTGTGTGCATAAAAAAATTGAGATGAAGAACAATTGATCTACAGTATGTGCTGAATTATGCATTTTGAAATCTGTTTTCTTCAAAATAGATCTTATTAATAATCAGTGCTACTATGTGCTGCTGACACGTGAAAATACAGTTAAAGGAAAACTGCAGCCATCCATTATGAGACCTCAGAATGAGTTGACCCAATTAATTTAGTAGCATCACCCATTTTTATGCAGATGAAGTCATTTTACTCTCTTGCATGGAATCAATTTTAGCTGCATTGAGTGGCTGTGAATTCTGCATGGAACTGATGTTTCAGCACCACTAGTCATAACCTGAGTGCTCTTTCTGACCTGCGTAGATGAAGCTTTCAACAATCAAGTGAATGGTTCTTAAATAAACAGAGAAGTCAAATTGTGTTAATGTCAGCTTCCAAACCTCCTGTTTAACTGTCACTGTTACTATTTCCATAAATAGGACCATTCCCTTCCTGAGAACAGCCATCTTACTAATGCTACTAGTCAGAGAATGAACTGATTTTATATAGTAGGCTTGAGAGAATGTTGCTACCAATGAAAGCAAAACACGTCAAACTTTTAGGGAAGATAAGTTTTCTTTGCTTCTTCATTGAAAGTGGAATTTCATTATTTTTATAATGTCTCTTGATTGGTACTCACACCTTACTAGGCTACTCACTTGACATACTTGCATAGTCTAATAGTGGCTGACAGCATTAATTAATCTCTCTTTAAAAATGTCTATACCCTGCTACTTAAAATGTGTGTAAAGAGTGCAGTAAAAAATTCCCTGTTTTTTCTCAAGATGAATACTTTCCTCACGAGGTATATTTATCACAAAAATAAAATAGAGAGCTGGAACTCCTGGCTTGGGGTCTCTTCCCTCCACCATCACTAAACTGCCCTGGAGCCCGAAGGGAGGGTGGCCTCACTGAGGCTGCCAGCTCTGGAGGGACCCCAGCAGCCAAAGCTGCGGCAGTCCTGGGGACCGTGGGCCGGATCACTCATCCTGGGGTAAGCCAGCTGCCATGTCATGAGGACACTCAAGCAGCCCTAAGGAGAAATCCATGTAGCAATGAACTGAGGCCTCCTACCTAGAGCCACATGATCGAGTGGATGACAGGCTTTTGGCACTCCAGCCAGGCATGAGGGCTGTACCTCTGAGGTGGGAGAGCCAAGTTCAGGACAGTGGTCCACAAGAGACCTCCCAGCTCCACATAATATCAAATGACAAAAATCTCCCAGAGATCTCCATCTCAACACCAAGACCCAGCTCCACTCAATGACCAGCAAGCTACAGTGCTGGACACCCTATGCCAAACAACTAGCAAGACAGGAACACAACCCCATCCTTTAGCACAGAGGCTGCCTAAAATCATAAAAAAGCCACAGACACCCCAAAACACGCCACCAGACATGGACCTGCCCACCAGAAAGACAAGATCCAGCCTTATTCACCAAAACACAGGCACTAGTCCCCTCCACCAGGAAGCCAACACAACCCACTGAACCAATCTTAGCCACTGGGGACAGACACCAAAAACAATGGAAACTATGAACCTGCAGCCTGCAAAAAGGAGACCCCAAACACAGTAAGTTAAGCAAAATGAGAACACAGAGAAACACACAGCAGATGAAGGAGCAAGGCAAAAACCCACCAGACCTAACAAATGAAGAGGAAATAGGCAGTCTACCTGAAAAAGAATTCAGAATCATGGTAGTAAAGATGTTCCAAAATCTTGGAAATAGAAGAGAGAAAATGCAAGAAACATTTAGCAAGGACCTAGAAGAACTAAAGAGCAAACAAAAAGTGATGAACAACACAATAAATGAAATTAAAAATACTCTAGATGGGATCCATAGCAGAATAACTGAGGCAGAAGAACAGATAAGTGACCTGGAAGATAAAATAGTGGAAATAAATACTGCAGAGCAGAATAAAGAGAAAAGAATGAAAAGAACTGAGGACAGTCTCAGAGACCTCTGGGACAACATTAAATGCACTAACATTTGAATTATAGGGGTTCCAGAAGAAGAAGAGAAAAAGGAAGAGAGTGAGAAAATATTTGAAGAGATTGTAGTTGAAAACTTCCCTAATATGGGAAAGGAAATAGTTAATAAGTCTAGAAAGTGCAGAGAGTCCCATAAAGGGTAAATCCAAGGAGAAACATGCCAAGACACATATTAATCAAGCTATCAAAAATTAAATACAAAGAAAAAATATTAAAAGCAGCAAGGGAAAAACAACAAATAAGACACAAGGCAATCCCCATAAGGTGAACAGCTGATCTTTCAGCAGAAACTCTGCAAGCCGGAAGGGACTGGCAGGGCATATTTAAAGTGACAAAAGGGGAAAACCTACAATCAAGATTACTCTGCCCAGCAAGGACCTCATGCAGATTTGACAGAGAAATTGAAACCTTTACAGACAAGCAAAGCTAAGAGAATTCAGCATCACCAAACCAGCTTTACAACAAATGCTAATGGAACTTCTCTAAACAGAAAACACAAGAGAAGTAGAAGACCTACAATAACAAACCCAAAACAATTAAGCAAATAGTAATAGGAACATACATATCAATAATTACCTTAAATGTAAATGGATTAAATGCTCCAACCAAAAGACATAGACTGGCTGAATGGATACAAAAACAAGACCCGTATATATACCGTTTACAAGAGACACACCTCAGACCTAAGGACACATACAGACTGATAGTGAGGGGATGGAAAAAGATATTCCATGCAAATGGAAATCAAAAGAAAGCTGGAGTAGCAATTCTCATATCAGACAAAATAGACTTTAAATAAAGACTATTACAAGAGACAAAGAAGGACATTACATAATGATCAAGGGATCAATCCAAGAAGAAGATATAACAATTGTAAATATTTATGCACCCAACATAGGAGCACCTCAATACATAAGGCAAATACTAACAGCCATAAAAGGGGAAATTGACAGTAATATAATCATACTAGGGTACTTTAACACCCCACTTTCACCATTGGACAGATCATCCAAAATGAAAATAAATAAGTTAACACAAGCTTTAAATGATACATTAAACAAGATGGACTTAATTGATATTTATAGGACATTCCATCCAAAAACAACAGAGTACACTTCTCAAATGCTCATGGAACATTCTCCAGGATAGATCATATCTTGGGTCACGAATGAAGCCTTGGTAAATTTAAGAAAATTGAAATTGTATCAAGTATCTTTTCCGACCACAACGCTGTGAGACTAAATACCAATTACAGGAAAAAAGCTGTAAAAAATAAAAACCCATGGAGGCTAAACAACACACTACTTAATAACCAAGAGATCACTGAAGAAATCAAAGAGGAAATCAAAAAACACCTAGAAACAAATGACAATGAAACACGATGACCCAAAACCTATGGGATGCAGCAAAAGCAGTTCTAAGAGGGAAGTTTATAGCAATACAATCCTACCTTAAGGAACAAGAAATATCTCAAATAAACAACCTAACCCTACACCTGAAGCAATTAGAGATAGAAGAACAAAAAAAAAACCCCAAAGTTAGCAGAAGGAAAGATATCATAAAAATCAGATCAGACATAAATGAAAAAGAAAGGAAGGAAACTGTAGCAAAGATCAATGAAATTAAAAGCTGGTTCTTTGAGAAGATAAACAAAAATGATAAACCATTAACCAGACTCATCAAGAAAAAAAAGGGAGAAGACTCAAATCAACGGAATTAGAAATGAAAAAAATAGTAACAACTGACACTGCAGAAATACAAAGGATCATGAGAGAGTACTACAAGCACCTATATGCCAATAAAATGGAGAACCTGGAAGAAACGGACAAATTCGTAGAAATGCACAACCTTCTGGGACTGAACCAGGAAGAAATAGAAAATATGAACAGACCAATCGC